TTATTTGGCCCTCCTCTACTGATGTTATGAATGGCTTGCAATACGGTAGTAAGAAAAAGGTGGTAACTAACCTTCAAAAAAGTTACTCTTTTGAACTATAGCTTCCAGAACTCCAGTGGGTATCCTTAATGTTATAATCTAAAATAAGTAGTAAGAAAAAGATGGTAACTAGCTTTCAAAAAAAGTTACTCTTTTGGACTATAGCTCCAATGGGTATCCTTAATGTTATAATCTAAAATAGTACATTTTTGAAGATTGGCAGCTGATACCAAATTTTCCTCTTAACATTCTTTGCAAGGATACTGCTGGAATTCTGAGGTTTTGTTTTAAAAAAAGAGGCCTGAAGGAGCTCATGTTGTAGAAAGCAAGGGCAAAACCTGTTACATCTTGGCTTCTAGTTGACTTCGAACTCAGCAGTATTTGACCTAGAAGCTATGATCTGTCATGATTTGAACTCCTCCTCTTACACTTGGTTACTTTCACAGTATAGCAATAGGACAAGGTTTTGTTTAATTTTGTGAGCCACTTTTAATCCAGCAAGCTTTTTGCAGGGTGTTCTCACTGGAGAGCCATTGTTGTATCAATTGTCAAGTTTTCAGGGCTTTGAGATATGTCACATTCTGTTGTGGGGAGAGACCGAGTAATTTTATCTGCACTTGCAATTCCAACTGTATTTATTTGTTTTACTTTATTCATTACACTCTACCCTACCCATCTAGTGTCTAAGCACTACTCTTAGATGATGTAGATCAGGGGTCTCAAACGTGTGGCCCATGGGCTGATTGCGGCCCTCAGGATGATAGTTTGAGGCCCCTGCCTTAATATGAAAGTTTAATGTTAGTGTTATCATCATCATCATCATTTACTGGTTGATTTACTCATTTTCTTATTAATTGTTAATTTGTTTATTTTTTATCTTATTTTGTGTTAAAAAATAAAGAGATTTGAGAAGATCAGAATTTTTTTTAACAAAGCTTTTATTGTGGAAAACCTGATGCGGCCCAGCCTCACCCAGACTCTGCCTCCAGCGGCCCCCAGGTAAATTGAGTTTGAGACCCCTGATATAGATGAAGACATGCACATTGTGATTGTGAAATATGATTGGGAAAGATTGTGTAGTGCCAATTGGCACTAAGTGGGCTCAATTACATAATATTTAAAATGTGGTTACAAAAGAAACAGGTTCACATAAGATTTGAATAACTAATGCATATGTATCAGTACAAATCTAGAAAACATTACTTTAATTTAGTAGAAACACAATACCTGCAATCAGATTGAGGTAAGTGATGACCAGATAACTCATATGACTTCTCAGTCTACTGTCCTGAGGCTGATGGGTGTTCTCAAGACCCTTTCCCTTCTTACAGGAATATTTCTCTGAAGCTGAACTTGGAGTAGATGGACTACACTGTCCTCTGGCAGTCCTTTGAATAGAGGAGTGTCCACTCTAATATGGCTACCCTATCACTGCTCATTGAATCAGGATTTTTGGCAACCTAGCTACGACCTTTTACATTAATCCCAGGGAATGGGCTGAAGGCCCAGGGTTGCACCCATGCGGCTGAAGCTGAGTAGGTATCCTGGGACAAGATATTCCCTTGAGCTCTTTGGTGAAAGAAAAGCAAGACTGAAAACCTTCATTATGAGAAACATGACTTAAATGCTAAAAGCCTTATGAAATTCATGGCCCAATACTGAGGGACTGTGGTTCATGGACCATCCATCTTCTTCATTAAAGAGACACTATGAATTTTAAAAGATCATCAGGTTCTATTGTATTTAATTATTTTCCTATGATTATAACAGACTTGATTGGCTTAGTGTTTGTTTCGTTTGCATTGATGTGAGGTAAATGCTCTAAGGGCATCCTAGAAGGATGTCTAAGCAAAGGCCATTGTACTTTGGGCACATCATGGGAAGACAAGACTCAATGGAAAAGACAATAATGCTGAGAAAGTTTAAGACAACAGAAAAAGAGAAAAGAGAAATAAGAGTTGGATTAGCCAATTAAGAAACTTACAGCCTTGAGTTTGGAAGCTATGCAGGGTTGTTGATGGCAGGATATTTTGAAGGACGTTCATTCATACCATTGCCGTAAATCAGAAAAAAACTTGACAGCACATAAAAATGAAAACAATAAGCTCCTGAACTGAAGCTATCGAAAGATGTCACTCTGCTTGCGTGTGTCCAAGGTAGTTCCATGTGAAGACTCTGGGACCAGTAAATCAATATGTATTGGGTGGAAGTGACAAGCCAAAAGGGAGGCTTTACTTTCTCTTCAGTGCTGCCATTGCTTTGCTGAGCTGCAATATTTCAGCTGCAGCCAAGGAGGGAGTAATTCGGCTATAATAATCCTATTTTAATTTCTGCAAACAAATGTTGAAAACTGGAACTACAGTTCTGTTTTGTTCAGAATTACAGTTTACCTATCAAACTCATCCAGAAGATTCATATGGTGATGAGTGAAATATGGCAGAAGTGATTAAAGATGATAACAAACAGACAATGGGATGGTCATGACACTTGGCAAGACTCAGAAGGGGAGCAGAGGCACTATCTTGTGGAAAGGCTCTTTTTTGGTCTGGCAAAACTACCAACAAGGAGGGCAGCCATGCTTGGCATTGCTTGGCATCTTTCCATTGTGTTGGTTCTACTGGAGTTGGAAATGTTGAAACCGGAGACTTTGCTTTCCTAGTGTGCACTGACACGTTGTGGCATAAAGGGTGTAGTGCGGTTGCTTCAAACATTCTGCAGGGAGAAAGATACTGAAATTGCTTCCTGATTTTAGTTCTCATTTCTGTCTCCTTTTAACCATCTACCTGTTTAGAGGTGAAATTCTAGCAAAACATTTGTGGGAAATCCTTTTTCTGTTTGCCTTTGTTGGAAAAATCGGACCTTTGAGAAATTTCAGAGGGATGCAGTTTTTTAATATAGGAGATGTATTGGTGGTGGATCATTTTCACCATCACTACCTGCTGAAGGTAGTGCTGGTGATGGTGGTAGTGGGATCTGCAGACCAAGAACAACTGCACAGACATGGTGCTTTCTGACAACTTGGTGAAGTATGTGATGATCTTAAGGACATTAACTCAAAGGCAGGTCCCCCAGAGCACAAAGGACTGTAGTCCATCCATAGTAAGTATGGGCTGGCTGATTCTTTTTAAACCCTAATGTCTTATCAGGACTGTTGGGATTCATTAGAACTTGGACTGCTTCCAGAGGGAAGACTCCTAATTCTACCAGCCAAAAGCTGTTGGGCAGCTATTCCATCTTTTCTCTTTTTCAGGTTTTTTTTTTTTGTGTGTATATGTTTTTAAAAAGTTTAGAAGAAATGGCGAGGAAAGTGCAGTAAAAACAGTGTGTGCGTGCACTTCCATGTCTGAGTGTGAATGGACAGTAAAAGCCTCTTTTGGAAGCAGCCTTCGACTACTAATCATCTGTAAAGAATTTATAGCAGCGCTGACTCAAATTCACTTTTCGGTATCCAAGCCAAGATAAAAATATTGGGTAAATGTGACTGACAAAGAAGGAATACACAGGTGCAGTCCACCTTGAAATATTCAGCGGAGTAGTAGTACAGATTTGAATAGTTTTAGTGGTTTTTAATTGCTTAAAATGATTTATATGTTCTAAAGTGCTTTAAATTCTTTAAAATGCCTTTTCCGTTTTACATTGTTAAACAGAACAATGGAGGTTACTTGAGTTACCAGCTTCCCAGGTCCATCCATCCATCCCTCTCTCCCTCCGTCTGTCTGTCCGTCCGTCTGTCCTCCCTCCCTCCCTCCCTTCCTTGGGGTGGCATACTATGAGCAACCAAGAGGAAAAGGCTCAGTGAGGCTCCTGGCAACACTGCTGATTCCAGCCATTTGACAAGATGAAAAGTAGCCACCTACACCTCCTCCAGAAATGTAGTCTAGTCATCCCCAGCATGGTAGTCTCCAAATGGTTGTACTTACCGACCTTCGCTTTGCAACCCGCCGATCAGCTGTTCTGCGGCTACAAAATAGCCGCCGGAAGCCCCAAAATGGCCACGCGCAGCGTTTTCGCGCCCTCATTAAGCGAGGGGAGGGCGCGAAAATGGCTGCTGGCCATAGGAAAGCATCGCTGAACGGTGAGTATTTGGCCCAATTGGAACGCATTAAACCATGTTTAATGCGTTCCAATGGCTTTTCCTGCCCCATTCAACGATGCTTTCACACAGCGAGGGTTAATTCGAAATGGATTAACCTCGCTGTGCGAGGCACCACTGTACCCCTCTCTGAAGGCTATCAGTTTGGAGAACATGGAAGCAGGTATTTTTACTGTCCCTCTTTCTCTTTTTCCCCTCTCACCCCCAAGAGCCGTACAAGCTGACTTAGTTTTCTGGTAGTTATCTCATGTGCTTGCATGACCAGATTGGACCTGAACAGTGCAAAAGGCAAATAGATTGAACTGTGTGAGTTGAAAGAAAAGCATGAAAAATCTGGGTTTTTTTGGAAGGGGCACACAGAAAATCTAACTCGACAATATGTTCCACTTGTATTTAGCTGGTGGAAAGTGTCTGGTTTTTTGCAACATGTATTCTTGCATCCCAGTCTGTTTGTTTTGTAACTGGCCACTGGAAGGTAAACATGGACTTAAATTGCCAGTCTGATTGCCCTGGCATGCATCTCTGATGAAATGATGCTGGGGAGGGGAAAAGGGGATCAGTGCTGGATAGTGGTTTAGGTATCTGACTATGGAGCAAGAGGTTGGGAGTTCAGTTCCTCATTGTGCCTCCTTGACAGGAGCTGGACTCAATGATCCCTAGGGTCCCTTCCAGCTCTGCAGTTCTATTATTATTAACTCATTGTTAACTACTCATATTACTGAACATGTAATTTGACCCTTAGCGACAACTCTTATTCAAAATGACAAGCACTTTGCTATAACTCTTCTTGCATCCAGGCCATGGATTTCTCCCACTTGGCTGTTTCTTGTGCCTTTGCTGTGGTACTGACTCTTCTTTGCAAATGCAGTTTGTGTTGCAGTGTGGAAAAACCATCACATGAGAACAGTTACCAATTACTTCATAGTAAACCTCTCCCTGGCTGACATCCTTGTCATCATCACTTGTCTTCCAGCAACTTTAGTGGTGGATATCACAGAGACCTGGTTCCTCGGCAACAGCCTCTGCAAGGTGATCCCTTATTTGCAGGTATCGTTCGCCAAGTTTGGGGCATGTGTTCTAAACACACAATGAAATCACAAGAGTAACAGTGGAGAACCTGCAACAGATATGTTTCATGCTTCAGTTTTTGCATCGGTTTTTGTTTTTATTGTTGGATGCATTTATATACCCCCTTTTCTCAATGAGCACAAGGTGACATATGTAGCTGTCCCTCACATTATTCTCCCCAGTGTCAGGGTGACCCAGGCCCCTCTGCTGCCTGTGGCAGGAAGCAAGAGTGTGAGCCCACCATGCTGAACTCCTGCCCTGCCCCCTCAGACCCTTCCCATATATTCGTTGAAGGCCTCTTTTCCCATTAGAAGCAAAAGAAACAGGGTCTGTGATGCATCCTGGAACAGGTTCTTTCACACAGGGCCTGATCACACAAGCCAAAGGAACCCCAGTTCTATTGGGGTTGTACTGGACCATGGCATTTACACCAGTGGGAATGTTTCCATTTGTTTCAACATTACTGATTCATTTCTTATTGAATTATTTGAACCATTATAGCAGGCTATACCGGGGGGGCGGGCGGAGAAGGCTCTCCTTCAAGCTGTCTCCTGCTGTTTCTGCTAGCAGTCGTTACTTGACTCTCTAAGGAATCATCTGTCTTTTTACAAGCTGATTTGTTGATACTGCTTTAAAAGATTTTTTTTTAAGAGTACAAGCACAGTGGCCATGAACTGGCCACAGAGCCCAGAAATGCAACCCCCTTGCAAGGGAAATGAATCGACAGCAAAGTTCACACAGGCTAAAACAATCAGCATTGTTACAAAATAAATAACCTTCTCCTCAAGAGGGAAATAAACCAGAAATACATTGCTGGCTGGAAAAATTAGTCATTCATGGCCTTGTGCTGTGTGACTGGAAATTTATGAAACAATCTAATTGGAGTATAACTGGAGTTCATTTGGCTCATTTGATCAGGGCCTCAGTTGAGCAGGGGAATGACCATAGGAGATACAGTATATCGCAGTAGTGAATACATCCCCTCACATTTCATAAATATTTTAGTATATCTTTTCATGTGAGAACACTGAAGAAATGACACTTGGCTACAATGTAAAGCAGTGAGTATACAGCTTGTATAACAGTGTAAATGTGCTGTCCCCTCAAAATAACGCAACACACAGCCATTAATGTCTAAACCACTGGCAACAAAAGTGAGTACACCCCTAAGTGACAATGTCCAAATTGGGCCCAAGTAGCTCTTTTCCCTCCCTGGTGTCATGAGACCCCTTAGTGTCATAAGTCTCAGGTGTGAAGGGGGAGCAGGTGTTATCGCTCTCACTCTCTCAGACTGGTCATTGGAAGTTCTACATGGCACCTCATGGTGATGAACTATCTGAGGATCTGAAAAAATGAATTGTTTGGCCAAGACCTTACAGCGATTTAACAGGACAGGTTCCACTCAGAACAGGACTAGGCATGGTCGACCAAAGAAGTTGAGTGCTCATGCTCAGTGTCACATCCAGAGGTTGGCTTTGAGAAATAGATGTATAGCATTGCTGCAGAAGTTGAAGGGGTGGGGGATCAGACTGTCAGTACTCAGACCATACACCGCACACTGCATCAAATTGGTCTCCAGGGCTGTCATCCCAGAAGGAAGCCTCTT